ACCTCCCCCGATAAGTTCGCAGAGCCGACGCTAACGATGACATTCACCATGTAATAATATCGCGGCATTTCGGCACAACACACAGACACACGTAAACACACAATTAAAAGTTAAATAAATAAAATAAAATACACAGTTAACAAAAGTACAAATGTCAGTGTCCGGTTCACAGTAAAGAAAACTAGGTAATAATTAAAAAAACTAAGAACTAAAATAATAATTAATTACAAAAAACAACAACAATCGTTTAGCACAACGCGCGCGTAACCCGTCGGAAATTAGCGAAAAGCACACACACTATCCCGGAAGTCTAGCAGTGAACTGATGAACAAATTTTATTTTCTAACTCATTCGATCACAAAAACGCGGCGTACTGAAAGGGAAACTACCCCTTTCACGATGCCGCCGCAAGCGGCGGTATCTTTGACAAAAGCCGTCAAAAGAAACCGACTGCTGGTGCGGCTATTGCATACATACACCGCACTGCTGATGTACTTACACCTATTTATTAGTGGTACGGTAACTTCAACTTTATCGTATTGACATAAAGTCGAAAATCCAATTAATAAATTTGTCAGATGTGTACGTTGATCTGCTGGCCACTGTACCTATTAGTTTTGTTTTCCGATGTAGGTACTTAATAGGTATCTTTGAAGAATAAATTAAATTATTAAATTAATATTTGATAACGGTTAACTACCCGACATTTGGTTGCAATAATGTTATGAACAAGGGTATTACAACTGTGACTACCTACCTACTTCATTATTTACTGACAAGTGCGTGTCAACGAGACGATATTCGCATCTTCTCTTTCTTACATGTTATAATCGGCTTAGAAATACGTACGGTAAATAAATACGTACTTTCGTACTTTTCGACGAATTTCTTAACTTATAAATTTTTGATTCATAATTTGGTTTTTGAAAAAGTGCCATCTATGGAAAAAAATCCGAACTACTACAACATTCTTTGTGATATCGATATTTGTACAATTTCCGTGTCAACTAGACGATATTGGCAGAAAGAGATTCTTAAATGTGGTAATCGACTTAGAAAGGTAAATAAATACGTAATTTCACTCATTAATTCGATACAAATGTCAGACTCCTTAATAAATTCGTAATTTTAATAAATTTTGATTCATAATTTGAAGAAATTGTAATAGTGCCATCTATGGAGAAATTGCCGAACTACTACAAAATGCCAAACACTCTTTGTGAAATCGATATTTGCACAATTTCACTGTTGGTTTCACTGCCACCAGCGCCGCCACCCAACCATTGTGTAAGCGTGGTTCGTGTAGGAACTACTACTTCATTGCAAACAAAACAATTTATACCTACTTGAGCTTTACGCGGAATTTTGTTTTGATTGGTTTTCTGAGTGCAAGTAAATAAATTGTAATTGTAACTGTAAATGAATTATGGAAAATTGCAACAGTAAGATCAGTGATGTGTGTTTAAATGAATTAAACAAGTGAGAGATATCCGTGTTGTCGTTTAAAGATTTTTTTAAGGCGTAAACTAAACGTGTGTTAGCCCGGATTAGGCGTAACTGAAAAAGGTAATTTTATTCGTTCTTTTCATAATAAAAGGTATTGTAACTAGTTGTAAGCGGCTAGAAGTTTGTGTAGGTACACAAAAAGTTTATGAAACGTGTTTTCTAGTTTTCAAATCAAGAGCCGAATGGAATTGAGGTGTTTTTTTTTTCAATCAAACTCGTGAATCGACATCTTCATTGAATATGGCAAATAAATAGTTTAACACAGACGGCGAGTACCTACAAGAACAACAACCATTTTATCTTGGTCTCGTTTTGTATGATCTTTCTTCATATTCAACGATCAGTTTATACTGGTTTAGCATAGCTTAATGTGCGTACCTACATTGTAAATTAAAGATTCATCGCGATTATTTCTTTTAAAATGTGGATTAGTGGACGGTGCAGTGACATACTTATCATATTATTTTGGGTCTGGTTAGGATTATACCAATTCTTTTCTCATTTTGAAAACCGAAACAAGAAAAGTGGCAACGTCGCGCATTGGAGTGCATTGACCTGCGTCAATGAACTTAAAGAGTGTTTACGTTTTCTCAAAGAGAAAAATGCAGTTTTTGGCTTAACTACTGGGCCGATTTTGCTAATTTTTTGTACATTGTCAGTATAGACGATAACAAGTATGTTGCATAAATAAATGTATAAGAGTTTTCTACATACGGTATATATGCATATTCATTCTTAAGCATATTTAAAATGGTAATCAGTATACGACTTTCAACTTACCCATAATTTACACAGCTGTAAATAGGCCTATTACTACATCCCTGCTTACCACAGTAAAATAGATACAATACGTCTAATAACAATACAGCCATTATCATAAACGTCGAAATACCGATACACAAAATGAGCTACACACAACGGAAATCTGTGTTTTTGCCAACAACAGGCGCGGGTGAGGCTCGACTCTCGTTGGCACGGCACAAAACACACATTTGCATAAAACTCGAATTGGCTTCAACGATGTGTATGCCACTATTGTAATGCAACTTTTAAACTAACAGAGCTCAGCATTACACTCCGCAACTTCCTCTGCGATACAAAAGATAACTTTTTAAGGCTTGTCTCCTGGTGCAGGGTTGAGATGGAGATTCCTGGAGGTTTGTGTGTGGTGTTGTGATTGATTTATTGCCTTATGGGTTCGTTTTCTATTGTAGAATGTTTGATTTTTCTTATAGAAAACATTCCATTACTCTCTATATACGTTTAAATTCATGAACACATCGCATCCAGACTTAGAACAGCAATTTGAATCGTACAAACAAGTTTTTGGTACGGAATTCAAATCCGCACCATATTGTTGCAAGACTTGAAACATCTTCAGATGATTTTTAAATTGTTTTACAGTTGGATGTTTCATCTGTTCAGTACCTGTATAAAAGTAGTGCGCTACAATATTCTGGTCGTCTTTTCTAATAATACGAACTTTCACGTTAACACTTCAACAATAAAATCAATTTTCGTTCAAATAAGACACGATTCTTCCGATATTTGTACATATGTTAGTCGATTTGTACTATAAAGCTCGAGCTCGAGCCGCGGCGTCAAATCTTGTCACACGCTCAATAAAGAGCAAATAAACTTGAGTTTCGAGCACATTTGAGCTCACACTCATGTTGAAGGAACCTCTCAACTCGAGCCTCTCGACGGCTCTTTAGCAAACTATGTAAACAATACCTTCTTGTGATTTATGTTACATAGATTGGGCCATTTTTTTATTTTTACTGGGCCTCTTAGAGTCCAAATGGATCCAAAATAAATAACGTTCAAAAATAACTATCGTATTTTTTACGGCATAAACCGGTAAACGAGCTGACGTATAACCTGATGGTAAGCAATAGGCGCCATGGATAGCTGGAACACCAGAGGCGTTACAGGTGCGTTACTGGCCTTTTGGGAATTAGGACTTTGAGGATTGTTGGGGGTTCAAGGATTGGGGAAGGGGAGAAGGGTAATTGGGCCTCCAGTAACCTCACTCACATGACGAAACACAACGCAAGCGTTGCTTCACGTTTTGTCGAATCATTCTAAGAAGCCATCGTATTTTCTAATAATCTAGTTCTTAACTAACTACGTGGACTGTTTTAAAAGAAGTCACATCAAACATAAGACATTGGATTATATTTGTGGACTTGATAAATATCACAATATTTTTGTAGTTCGGTACAAGTGTAGCAAACATATGACAGTAAGGAATGTGCCCCCGAAAACTGTGTAAACAAGTAAGCGACAGATGGTTGCCGCACGCGAGAATAGGCTCGACGTCGACGCTCGTACGTGTACTTAGAAGCGAAATAAATACGCCATGTTTGTGACGAAAACGGAAAACAAACGAAATATCCTATTTAATGTTTGTCTCTGGAGGAAACCTTTCTTTGGATACTATTTATAAAAACACCCCGTTTTTGATGTTAAAAGAATGTGTTATTAATTTTAATATGTTGTACTAATTGGTATAAGATATCAAATGCATCCATAATCCCATTAATTAGTATTAAAACACCTCCATTAAACTCGATAATTATACAAATTTTAATGAACTCAATCTGAGAGTCTATCAACACCCGCCGACGGCAACTTTTCCAATAAACTCAACCTCTATCCGGAAAATCAAGTAATTTATTTTACAATCTTAATCTCCACGTTATCGCGTGGAAAAATAATTTATATTTGACTCTTGTACAATAAAATATACGTGACTACCAACTTGGGAAAAAGAACGTCTGGAGATAACAAAAGGGAAAGTATTATAAATTTTATTTTCCACTTTTATCAGCATTATAGCGAGTACCTAATCTAAAGGTAAAAGACATTGTGATGGAACTCGATTAAATTAAGTTACTACAGCGAAAAGGAGAGCAATTTCGATTCTCATAGAATTCAAATGAGCTTTTTATTCAAACACAAGACTGGAGGACACTAAAACAGATGGTTTTACTCCATTGCATCGAGCATACCTTCTACTTATGTTTCAAAACTGATATTGCTTACTTTAGGTACACGTACCTATGACTTTTGGTTGTATTTTTCATTTTTCTGACAAAATTACTCAACAGTTTCACAACCATTAATCAAGTTACAATGGGATTAAATTACCATAATATCTACCAGTTAATGATAATGGTGGATTTGTGATTAATGATTTAAAAACCTTATAAAAACTTTACAAATAAAATCACCAAATCTACGAAAGTGTAATGCATTTACCACTATTTTGCACAGCAAGCCTTTTATCGTCCGGTAGCTTATTGGGATTGCATATGGTATCAGGATATACGGGAATGCGTATTTGCCGATTTAAAATCGACCACGAAAAATTGCAGAGGCTCAAGCAGATTATCTACGTATTCTGCCTCTGTAATTTTAATGAGGCTGTAAAAAAGATTCAATGTTAACCACACAACTTATAAGGATTATGTAAATAAATAAAATAATCGTTAAGTTAATATCATTTAATCAAATAATACTCCTAATAGATCTTACAAGAAAGCCAGGCGATATACATTTCATAATCATGGAATAGTTTTTCATCTTACAATACGCAATGCAATATAAACACTAGAATATAGTTTATTAAAGCTATAGACGTCTTACAGCGATAGATATTGTTACATTAGAGTATCTAGTACCGCCAAATGAGACCTTAATTAGTAAATATAATTTGATATGATTATGTAGGTAGCTAAATTCATTCGTTAATTGATTTCAATGCTAATTAACTAGAACTTTCTAAACAATGATACAAACATTGAGTAAAATAACAATTTATAACATATTTTTATTTCTAAGAAGATATGTAACATATGGCAAAATAATTCATAAACATTTTTGGACTGATCAAATGATATGTTATTCAAAATTTTTATTAAATAAATTTTAAGTAAATTCGACATACCTACTTAATTACAGCTATAGATAAATTTTCCTACTTTTAGTATACATTTTACTACAACAAATCCGATGGTATGATTCGAACAATCTATCTGAAAATATCTATTAATTATCTAATTAGTTAGAGGCCGTCATAAAATTATAGGTAACCTTTAACCAACAGAACTCACTTGTTACATTATACTACGTCTAACGTCGCTCTAGTTTAAGACATATGAATATATTACACTTAAAATATTTAGCTCCATTCATCATAAGCAGGATGTAAAGACTGTACAAGAGATATATACAAACTTACATACTAATATAATATGTATATGTCTACGTAGCTGCTTTGAATGCCTACCGGAGTGGAATTAGCTTCAATACTGTGTCCAGCTTTTGGCTGCAACAGAAAATGAAAACCTTGATAACGTGTTGCGGGTGAGGTGGGAGTGAGAGCGTGTAAATCGGGGCGGGGAAGGGAGCGGCTTGCACTAAAATTAATGTAATAGTGGTACATATTAGTGTGTGAATATTGTTATAAATACTAACCAGTTGACTAGTATCTTAATACCCATGTATTTTTTTTATCGTAATATTTGTCAACGGTCTTTTCGGGATTATAGATCATAGCGTGAAGTAGTTTCATAGAAAATAGTTTTAGTTAGCATTATGATAATAATTTTATAATTAAGCCTTTAACTGCCGACAAAAACTGTTAAAGGCTAATCCTCCGCTAGCGTCGGACAACATTATCCGACACGGCAGCCAATGCGTTAAGTGATTTTAGCCTAAAGGATTTTAATAGTTATTTCGTTAATACAATGTGATCCAAACTGTGTAATTTAAGTGCAAGCGAGATCAGTCACATCTTATTCCGATGTATTAGATTTGTTAAAGCATAAGCGATTTGGTAATCCGCTGTAAGTGTAGCCACAACCTTCATATTTGAACACGAAATGTAACTGCGCCAATTACGTAATTTGCAATCGTGATAACTATGGTATTATCGTTATCGTTACATAGGTTACTGTTACTAACACCAGTTGCTCGTTGATTGTACAGATAACTTATGCCTACGTGTAATGGCTTTAATCTTCAATGAAATGTAGGCAGTATTATCTTTTTTCGATTGGAACATGTTGTTAGTGTTTTTGATTATGACAGTAAGGCTTATTGTTGTTTGCACATTGTTACACTATGATTATGTTCATACGGGTGGAGGGACTCGGGTATTATACTAATGTATAATGATTCAGCAAAATTCTAATTGAATGAAATATTTTCATCTTCTTAAAACCTAATCAAAAAGAAAGGCTTTTATGAAAATAATTCCATTTTTCCGAGATGTAACCGGAGATAGAATGTGTGTATTTAAAAGCCGAGTGATAATTATAATGATTACCTTTATAATGCATATCTCGATGCATGCTTGGACAAGTTTTCCCAGGGTACTGAAATTATACAAAGATGTTAAAACAATGTTAATTTAAATACTGAAACGAACACAAGTTATTAATACTACATGATTGCTAACCATTTTACAGAGACATACACAATGCAGCGACTAAGTCTATCGCTTAGGTACCCAGCTTAGAACACAATATGAATTATTAAACGGGTCTCCAGAGAATTCTGTGCTTAATTTGATTTTCTGTAAGGTGTAATTTACCTTGCTGAGATCGAAGTCAATGTTGGTCCTTACGGCTCGGTGGTGGAGAGGCTGGGGCGGCCTAAAGTTGTTGCCGAGGGGAGCCTTCGGGTGCCTGGCGTCGCCTTGCATCAGCCGTCTCAAGCCGTGTAACTATAGTCATGAAATTCAATTATGTTGACACTAAAGTTCTTGAAAGTATGACTACCCCTGTTTTGGAATTTATGAACCTCTGCCCAAATATAATACAGAGAGAACGGTTCGTTTCTTTTGCACATTTAGGTTATGTTTCGTGGGGGACATTTTCTACTACTTTTATTATATGTATATGTGTAACCGAAGTCGACTTTATATGACTTTTTGTTGGACGTAATTACTAATTGACGTAAAATGTAATTTGAGGAGCCACCAGTTAACAAAATATTTTAGATAAAAGTGAACAAAGAAACTAGCGTTAACAAAGGTGCAAGACTTGCAATTTCGAAACTGCAATGCATGTTGCTGTATAACCTAAGTGTTTAGGTGGAGAGCTATTTCAAGTAAATTGAAATTTCTTCCTTTTATAACGTTGGGTGACTACTGGTGTACATATAGGTGTGTTGCCACGGTCGGATTAACTGGCTCGGAGCACGCGACCACGGCTATCTGATTCGCATCGTTGTTTACGCTATATTAAACAATTTGATTCTGATTATAGACTCCGCCTAAACTTTGATTTTACCAACTGTAATTTCGTTTGTAATGTGAAGGTTACGGTTGGCTTTAGGTAGCTTGTGTGAACTTTGTTAGTATTTTGAATTAATTATTTTGTTAAATAGATCTTTGTTATATTTTGTGAGTGTTCAATCTTTATTACACAGTGGATAGGTAGGAAATAATAAATCAGGAAATGACTCTGCCTGTACAGAATACGTGCAGTAATGGTCTGTCGGAGATTCCCTTTATGGGCTATTTGGTAAATAGGTGTATGACTTCTATTACGGACACCCTCAAGAGCTTATTTTCTCAGTGAAGCTCACATGTATTATTAGTGTTATTTCGGTTTTTATGAGCCCGGGACCATAAAGGTGGGGATTTTTATTAGCATAAAACTAAGCACGTTAGTGGCATTGTAAATTGCACTTCAAGCAGCGACCACATGGCGTTCGCTCAACTCCCCGCGAGATTGCAAGCAGTTTCCACTAGCACTTAATTTTCCGACCAACACAAACGGAAAACATAAACAATGATTTATAATAACAGCCGCACAACGCGGCACTTTCAGTTTACTTTTAACACGTACATAATTCACCGCGGAGTCTTTGTCTAAAGGCGAGGGACGTGAGTTGTTTATTGTAGCGTGGGCACAAATGAAAATGTTATTACGCTGCCCCACGCTTGAATACACTGATACATGTCTTCGACTGGATGCGCCCGCAACCGCCGGACAACTCCCGCTATAGTTAGCAAATTAACAATCCGTGAAATATGAACTGAGCGGGGTGTAAGACATGGCTGCTTGCGTTTGCTTTGTGTCGTCCAGCGTTCAAGACTACTTCTCTTAATCTAAAGATAAAAAAATACAAATACTAATCGGTTAGAGATAAAACCTACTCTGTTCCAATAACTGTACCTACATCTGTAATATAACAATATCCCTAGAGACGCGTATAATGCCTACGACGAACTTGAACAGATGCAGTTACCGGAGCCCATATTGATTGTTACTACTGACCCAATGACAGACACGTACATACAGTACTGTACTCAGCTTCGTTGACCAATGTTGAGCACTTTTCATCATCTATCTATATCTATGTATAGCAATTGAAGATCGTGAGAGATAACAATATCTCTACTTTAACAAAACATGGATTTATAGTAATTAGTAGTATGATATTTTGCTTGATTGCAGGTCATAAACGACAGATAAAACTGTATTATATTTAGTATGTATATTTCAGTAATCATGTTTTGGTATTAGTTGCACACGGTGTTGGAGCAAAAACTCTTTTGCGCCACCTCATTCATAAAGTTTATTATTAAAAATTTTTTATGTTCCAAATTTGATATTTTTTTTCTTTATCTTTTGTTTTTTCTTCCTATTGAATACATACGTTCTATTCGTCAACAAATCTTTTTTTTATTCTCTTTACAACATCTTTTAGAAAAACCCTTGAAATTATTATTATTACGCCTGGACTCTCAAACACACGGTTTAACACTGAACCTGACGCGTGACTGTACAAAGTGTATGAGTAGAGAACTAACTTTACTCTTAACTTGCTGTTGCCCGCGACTTCGTCCGCTTAGAATATGATTCCTGTTTTGACCCATGAGTGCATTTAAATCCCGATTAATTAGGATAAAAATCTATCTATAAAAATATCCTATCACCTAAGTCAGCCCATACCCTGCCGATAGGGGGTGAGTCTATTGCCATATACCGGACACAATTCCTGACTCTGTGCTAGTACTCAGATTTTTTTTTAACCAATAATACTTGCTCGACCCGGGAATCGCACTGCCTCATAGGCCGAGTGGTCTTAAGTGCGGCTGCCGGGCAAGGGGTTACGGGCTCGATAATATTAGTGTAATATAAAAACACTTATAACTCAAAGTATACCTGTTGTTTAGTGATATAGATGGGTTTGTTGACAATGATCCAGGTGACGGTCTCGTAGCAAGCGGGGGCCGTGGTGGAGCCGTCGTATGTCATGTAGTAGTCAGTGTCAGGCAGCAGGCCACGGACCGAGAGCTTGTTCACTGGCATCTCTGCACCTTTATGAATATAAATAAATATTTAAAACGAAAATAATGTAAAAATAATGAAATTATGAATTATACTACACGAAGCTTATATTAGTAGTGAGTCTCAATCAGTTTCGGTTGTATTACCGTATTTAAATGGAACGTTTGTTATCTACTTTTTATTCCCTTATACGGAGACTATAGGTACTTGTTTACGCTTTTTAGGCTATACACTCCCTCCCGCCTCACACAGGCGGGAGGAAGTGTATAGCCTAAAAAGCGAGGAAGTGTCAGACTCTTACTGACTAAAAACCACCCCGTTCCTAATCGTGCCCTTCGAGCCGAGGCGCCCCGGTAACCCGTTAAGTCTTCCGCGACTCCGTATCGGCATCAGACCTATTGGGCCCCATCCGTGGTGATCTAATGGCTTTTTGAGGCGCTTGCGAAACGCGACTTGTATACGCTAGTACGTAAATTAATTAAATAATAATGTAATCAAACTTACCTCCGTATTTGATATTTTCTAATTCTTCTGTTAATACTCTAAGTTCTGGATTTGATAAATCTCCGAGCTGCAACAAGATGTGTTGATTACTAACGAATGATTAGTGAAAAACGTTGTAATGAATTTACTAATGTTATTAATGTTGCGCGTAGAAGTACATTACGTATATCCACAATATCATTATTAAAATTTAAAACTAAACATTTCAATATGCATTATTAAAATAGAATATTACAACTAACCGACTATTACCAGAGAACGACAAATAAAAAGGCGCGCCGGAGACATGGCTAATTGTTTGTCGTGTGTGAAATAGCTTGCTTTAGCAAAGTTTCAGTTAACGGCGACCACAAGCGAAATATGAACGTGTCGGTAAACACGTTCCCCCTTGGGACAACATCGGATGGGATGTGCTAACACAGACGCTGGCCTTCATTAAGGAACACCATAAAACGATCGAAAATAACCTCTCCGAAAGATGACGGTGTAAGGAAATCAGACAAACATTTGTTTTCTTAGGTTGTGTTGGTTGGGGTAACTTGGGCCGTGTGTGTAAATTTGGGTTAAAGTTTTGTTTAAAATGTAGGTAAATGACGTGGTTTTGCTCCAATCGATACAGAACTGATATTGTCTATCTTTCTTTAACTTAGTATATGAGATTTTGAGCTAAACTTTTTACTTCTAGAGTAGTCAACAATTTAGGTAACACATAGGTACGAGTCTCAATCAGCAATCAATTTCAAACAAAATAATCTATGAACAAATGCAGTACCCACACGAAACTGTCACCTAGAAAACTAATATTGATGAAGTAGATAATATTAAATGTCAGCAATTAATTGGAAATACAGGGTGTTTGCTGGCCTCGTGGTGACGGCTGACGGTCCAACCCAGACAGTTACTTAATTTGAACTAATAGCTTTACTGGCTAATCCAGTGGCTCGCAGAAAAATCCAATTTCCTTAATTAACTGCGATCAGTTCGCTATGAGGTGCGGCCGGTAACACTTCGATGGGAACAATTACGGCTAAGTACCTGAATAAACACCTACATTACGTGTTGTTAGGAAACAATTTTCGCTGATATTATAGCTGTGAGTTATGGCGTTTTAATACTAGGGAGGTTTTTGGTAACGCTTGCAAAATTTGTAAGGGTTAAAGTAATTGAGAATAGGGTTACTTTTGAAATGTCTTGAAAAGCAATTCATACTTGTGATGTTACGATTTTTAATATTAAATTATCAACTGCTTATTATTTCAGACAACATAAAACTGTGGCTTAGTAGACTTCTTACGGCTAATTTAGAAAATTATAAAAACATAAAACAGCTTGAACACTCTTCGATGAAAACAATAATTATAATTTTAGAGGTAGACGCAATCCACTCCAATCGTGATTTTAATAATAAGTACGAGTTTATATTATTGTGTCAGACACCATTTATAAATTAGATGTCCATTATTAAAAAAGTCCAGTAAGTCCGTACAACAGAGGGCTACTTGTAACCACCAACATTTATAACATTCCGTGACTTACTTGAACTTTGAAATTACAAGAATACAATACTTGGCAAGTATATTCAGCATTTAGAATGACTTAATAAATGTAATTACCTGTAACAATAGGGATATTGAAACAATTCCTTGAGCTTTGTGTAGAGCCTCGGAGAAGTTTGAATACAATTGTGAATTAAAACCGAATATCTGAATCTGGAACAAATTAAATTATAAATTACCTTGCTCTTTTTGTCTATATCTGCATTAGCTTTATATTTTTATATCCAGGTCATGGTTTAAATAGCATCACGCCTTTTATCCCCGAAGGGGTAGGCAGAAGTGTACATAGAGATAACACCCACTTTTTACTATTAATGTTATACGAGTGGCGCGCCGATAAGGTGTCCGATGACACAACACGTGTTATTTACTTGGCAGAGTACGTTTCTCCTGGCCACCAAGTGGTTATGAGTCCCATGTAATAGGGGGCGAGCTTATTGCCATAGGTATGTCGAACTAGAATTGAACCCGAGACCCCTTGCCCGACAGTCGCACTCGCGACCACTCCGCCAACGAGGCAGTTATGGTTTAAAATGGCGTCAATAGAATTATTACTTAACATGAACTTAATAAACATATTTAATTTAATATCTTCACATTAATTTAGGATTTACAGTTTGAACCTTTAAGTTAACTATTTATAACAAACTTAACCTTTAAAAATGAAATTAACTTCCAGGTCACGGAAAATTTTTCAAATCGATTATTTTAAACAAGTTGTTATTTTTAAGATTTTCTTTGTTCATAAACTCTTAACATAACATCAATAATATTTGAATTGAAAGCCGCCGACGAACACGTGATTTTGGATTTAACATGACTGCGTGAGAATTTGTCACATAAATAAACAGGAGGCATGGTTGAGTTGGTTCGCAGTGAAGTCGTTCGCCGGGATTACATTTGGGATTTGAACGTCTCAACGAGAGGCGTAAGGATGCGTGTGAAAACATCTGTTACGCTTTCTTTTGAGACCTTTCCAAAGAAATCCCTGATAACATTTTAACGTTTATCTACGTTACATGTTTATTCGACGCTTCACTTAGGTTTTATCCTCGGTTGCTTACATAATGTAACACGAGTGTTGCGAATCTCTGACTTTACGATGATATAAATCTTTGACAACGGTGCTACATACTTACTATGTCAAGAAAATTATTTTTACACCAACCTTTGTATATTTTTGGTTTAATTTTGCTTCGCTTATGGTATGGTGACCATAGACTTTGTCGTATTTCGTCGGGCAAAGTATTACTAGTTTTTTATAAATTCTCAATAGTAGCCTGGAAGTTCGGAGTCTGGAATTGTCCCGGTATATGGCAATAGGCCCCTATTACATGGGATTCATAACATAAATAGTGAAAAGTGGGTGTTACATTGCACAGTGGCATAATGTGCACCTCTGCCTACCTCTTCGGAGATAAAAGGCGCGATGTTATGTTACATTAATTCAGAATTCTCACCTCAGCTGGGAAGGTATACCCATTGATGGCGTGTTCTGATCCAAACTGGTCGTGTAGGCCGTAGTGGATGTGGATCTCATGGAACTGGTACTTGTAGGAGAGAGGCCCACCAGTAATGTTTATGTGATGCCGGGTCTCATTCTCCACCGTGAAGATCACTGAGTGGCCAGTGTTGCTTATTAGGCCGTTTATCTAGAAAAATAACAATCATTAAAACGAGATGTTTTACATAATATTTGTTTGATGATAAACTTACTATTTTCTGTCGAATGCCTTTATTAGATTTTCAACTCTATTGTTCAGATGTAAAGTCGAAAATCCAATGACAAAAATTCACACATTAGGTTGATGCGCTGTTCACTGTACATCAATATTTATACTAATAGCTACCAAACATTTTTATTCTTACTAATAAAAGCATTTGTCAAATCTGCAAGTAAACAAGTTTAAAAATAAAATCTTACTCTATGTTTATCTATGTGTAAAAACCGTAGGTTTGGATCGAACAGCAGTTTTTCTGGTTCCAAATTGACTGGGGATTGGCGCCGGCCTTTGTTGCATAGCGACCATTCTGGGTTGATCAGCCCCCAGAACGCTGGACCTAAATAAGAAACAGTTTAAACAAAGTATTAATAAATCTAGTAGGATTTATTCTTCCATCTACATAAGGTGTGTGGGAGAGCCATGCTTCGGCACGAATGGGCCAGCTCGACCGGAGTGATACCACGGCCTCACAGAAAACCGACGTGAAGCAACGCTTGCGTTCTGTTTCGTCATGTGAGTGAGGTTACCGGAGGCCCAATTACCCTCCCCTTCCCCAATCTCCCCAATTCCTGAATCTTCAACGATCCTCAAACTCCTAATCCTCAAAAGGCCAGTAACGCACTTGTAATGCCTTTGGTGTTTCAGGTATCCATGGGCGATTGCTTACCATCAGGTGATCCGTCCGCTCGTTTACCGGCTTCTTCCATAAAAAAAGGTATTTGGCTCTGCAGCAGTGCTTGTAATTAGTTCAGTAGTACCATGTACAGCCTGCTCAGTTATGTAGAACGAAAATAAAGATTCAATACTGAGACAGTAACCTTTGCTTGGCTGCTAAGCTGCAAATGTTATTTTTTAACAGACATAATTTTATCAACAAGAACTGTAACATTTAATGTAGCAATAGCTACTGTCTTTGTACTGAGTATTTATTTCCTATCTGCATACCATATAAGGAACTATGCAGACTGTATCTCTGTCTTTAAGTACAGATAAAATAAATTATTAGATCTAAGAGACTTTCTTCGAAAAGATAATTCTTTTAATGCGCTTAAACTTAAACGTCTTAGAATATGTACACATCCTTGTTTGTCAGCGGTAGCAAACAACATGCAACAATTTAACTAAACGCTTAAAACAGCATGCTTTAGTAACACAAAAACAAAGAAAATAAAATGCAATTAAAAAGTTAAAACAAAGTTCAAAAGAATCTACAGTACAAATCTCAACAACTAAAGGTTTTTTAACATATTATTAACTCAGTGTCCTAACAGCTTATTTTTCCATGTACACAATGTTCGGCGTCTCAGGTCCATTACACCCAAGCTCAGTCAGCACGCAGCTTAAAGTAATAGAATCAAGACCGACTTCAATAAACGTTGACTCAGAACAACTTGAAACTAGCAGAGACTCGATTGGATTGAATTTGTTCTACGAAAGGAAAAAAGAGTTTAACATAAATTGAGTTCTTCCTATTGGTTTCTTAATCTGTTTATGCTTTCAAGATTAAGGATTATGAAATGGATTACTGTTCAATTGGATTATTTTTACGTCTATACGCTTATCAGTATTTACGTTTTTGTATATTTATCTACATATTACTGTTGATATAGGCAGGTAGGTTATTATTTATATATTTACTTTAATATTGTATACATATTTATTGTTATATGTAAGTATGTATAAGTTTTCAAATATACCGTATATACATATAAAGTATAGTGTTTATTGAATATTATGATTGTGAGATTTGTTATTTATTATACTGCTACATGGCCTATTTATAAAGGTTTAAATCACCTGCTACTTTCATCTCTACTTTGCTTAAACAGTCAAACACCAAGCGGTCACCGGTGACCGCAACCTATTGTTCTATAATTGTGTCTACAAAACTGGTACTCGACGAGTTAAAGGTTGACTGGCAGACAATGCCCAAGGCATTAAGTCCACCTGTACACACTTGTTGTATGAAGTTGAAATAAAAAAAAATAATTTTTGCGCCTGAAAGTAGGTACTTACCATTATTATGTGGTAATGATGGTCCTTGTATGATTTGTGTTCTTGTCTAGACAAAACTTTTCATTTAAGTTGAACTAAAGTACAATATGTTCTCAACAACATAAAACCATACCATAACAACTAAAGCTTCCAATAACGCTATCAACCACTAAACCAGAAAACATCCAATTATAAAATACCTTTTACACATTATAAAAATTAACACTCATAATGATAACGTATAACAAATTTTGTGTCCCAATTAAAACATGACTGTAATCTGTGGTTTTTAACATTCACATAGTATGTATTTATTATATGAAATTGTATCAGTATGTCGTATAAATGTCAGCTGGTATCAGATGATACAGTTACCGTGTTAATTATCACAATGAAAAAGGCCTTATTGTAAATGTTCTCTTGTTCAATACACGAACATAACATGCGTCAAATGATTATTTCAATTTTCTCATGCATAAAATTGAGTGCTCAATGCAATCCGATTGTTCTTATATCATTGGATTTTTTATAGTTCTTACGTTACTGTAATATATTTTAAGTTGATATTTGTTTATACTGAGGTGTAAAATCTGACTGTGTTCTAAATTGAGTTTTTTGCTTACGATTAGATTCGACTTCTTCACTAATTACTCACAGTTCCCGCAGAAAGACGATCACATGGATACTTTTCCGCATTTCAAATCAACAGTCTCATTTTATTGCACCTTTCTACAGGATCGCACCAGCACCCTAACAAAAACACCGAAAATCGCGGGCGAAGCGTTAATAGACTATAAATGTATTACGGGAAAGTAAAGTGTCCCTTTCCGTTCTCAGTATCGGCCGGCTTTTAGCATGTTCCTAAATAATCAACGGCTTGTTCGGATCTTTGTCCGAAACAGTATAGCCTGTAAGCCGAGGCTCTAGCCTCACTTTAGCTCTAAGCTGCTTGTCCACCTGCGCTCGACCCGTTTCGGGGGAAATCGGAGAATATTGTTGGCTCCCTTAAGAGAAATATAGATACTTGGGTACGTTTAATTTAATAATTTCGAGTAACTATCCAAAATTTGCTTTGGTTGATAGTTAGTTTACTCTAAGACGAGTTAAGTAATTTTAATTGTAATAGCTCTTTTGGCCTACATTTTGATTATATTTGAGGCGAGAGAACTTTTGAGTTCAGTCTGAAAAGTGTTATGTGTACAATATGTGTTTGATGTGAACTCAACTTTATTTACGTTAAGAACCAAAAATTCTGATACTTTCAAATCCTAATACATGTGTACCTAAAATGTTAATGATCAGTTGACAACTCATTGAGTGCCATTAACACAGTCCAAATTAACAAACAAAAAAATGGCGTTACTGCAAATGACAACCGAATCAACAGATTAATAATAATCAACGACGAGTTAACAGCTCGTAACACTGATTAATAATTTCATGATCCAGGTGGACCTACCTCTATATTATGCAGATTAACGTTCGGAAAAACCGCAAACATTTATTTTCCCAAGGTATTTCAATATTGGCGGGGAGTGGCGTGAAAGTAGCCAAAGTGCTTTGGATCGTATTCACGGTTTTATTATTTATGACCTTGAAAATTGCATGAGTAAGCCGGCGCAGCAGTTGCGGTCACGCCCACTTTATGGCCACGCGTTAAGTGAACTTTCCGTTAATGCTTGCATTTTTTTATTGTTTTTGGCATTGTATGGCGTGCAATGTCTCACGTATACTTTGCAGAAACGGTTTCTATACGGTATTTGGTACTTAGAGGGCTAAGTTTTTTTTTTTTTTAAATATGTTGCCCCACACTAGAATTTTCTCCTGTGTCGTGGTAAGTGTTAAGTATTTGTCTGATATACTTACTGTCAAAATAATAGAGTATCAAGACCTATATTAATTTTCGCGCTATAATTGAATTGACTAATACTAACTCGAAATATGATTCTTTGTGATTACCCTAATGTTAACCGCATCTTCGATTTGTATAACTAATATTGTTGTTTTGTTAAAACCTTTTCTTTTTGTTTGAATTTCACAGACACAATAGAATACACATCTGCGTAACTCGTTTTTCTAAGAACTGAGTACCAAGTACGAATAACTATCGCAATCGTAACGTAATAGTATCGAGTGCGTTCGGCGCTCTGATTGGCCGGCTCGAGTGAACCAACCAATCAGAACGCTTACTTCGCTCGATACTGTTACGATACGAATGCGATCTAGTTATTCGTGCTTGGCCCTCTGTAAGTATTGTTTACGTCAGTTTCATTTCACAGCCAATACTTTCATCAAAACAATGTGATTTTAGCAACTAGACAAAACAACTTCGTCATAATTTACGTTTATTTGTAAATGCAGTTCTAACAGATACGATCAATAATGAATTTACGATAGAACATAGCTTCCAAATGGTGATACTAAATTTATTTGACTAACGTCGCAAAATTTTATCGGTATGAATCTATTCGGTGTAGTGTAGCAAATGTATATATATAATTGGAATAGATATTTATTTCTGTTTAGTAATTTAGTATGTTGTAAATAAAATATTGTTATTGAAGGTATTAATTTTATGTAGGTTTGCCCATTTTGATAAATGTATATAAATAACCTTGCTTCTTATTTCTTGAGTGGGTGTTTTGACTGATTATGCTCAATTTTCAATACACTCAAGAGATTTTTAGGTTTAAGGCTTAAAAGTTGATAATCATTAAGAAGCGAAGACAATGTACTAAAGTGTGAAGTTAAATAGTTAGCTTTTATTATTTTAAACACTACGTTCTTATTGAGAACTGAAATAAAACAATCTTTGTCCAAAGCTGAAAACTTTGCCTCGAATTTTTTCCTTAGTCGTATTTCATTTTTATAAATTTTCTAAAAATAAAACATTATTAATTTTGTTCTAGACAGTGGTAATAAAATTTAATTTCTTTCCCTCCATACGTATCGTTTTTAGACGAACTAATCAAGGCGCGATACGATTCGTGCATTAAAAATGTATTGGCTCTCGTCAGGCCTGTCCGAAGTTAGAGAGCCGAAGTTGCGTGACACCGCTGTACATCTTTATACAGTATTCAGTGGTATTAGTAATCGGTAAATACATTGATTAGTAATCCAATGATGTGGATTAAAAGAAGCAATCTTAAAAGAGACTAGCTAATTATGCTGGAGATACTTTGTAAAATGCATAAATATGTGAACACAACTCAATTAACTTCCTCTGACTTTGCAATCTGAATGTCGAGTCTTTGGGATACCTGGCTATTGGTTGAAATACAAAAAATAGGATTCGATTGATGACGATTAGCTGTTGAGTGACTTAAGTTATGGTTCAAGTAGAATTAACTCTCCAGCGATAAAACTTAGGTTTAATTGTTATAAGTAAAGTTGCAAAAAAGCTCGGAAAATTTTGTAAATGTGTATATTACTTATGTCTCTTTTCTTTCTACTCTATTCCAATAAACCTAACTGAGTACCTGTTAATAAAGAAGGATATTATAAAAAAACCTTACCAAAAATAAACCCACGCCTGAACACATACACAGCCACAGTGTAGAAAATCTCAATTCATTGACCTACCGCAAAACATTTGTTCGATACGTCGTATCAATTTCTCTGGCGATAACATTTTTGCTGGTTTACGTGACACGAAATTTATACGGGCGATTTATCTCGTATTCATATTACGTCATTCACAAAATTGTGAGGTGTTTTATCGTATGTTCGGGAACTGATATTTCTCTGATAACTTCCGTGCGTTTTATGACCGTCTAATTTATTTTCCGAGTACCGTCGACTTGATTTTCTACAGGATCGTCGAATTGTTGGTTATGTTTAACGATTTTGATACTTTTGAGTACAAATTTATCTTAATGTTTAATAGTATTAACTTCGTACTGGTATTGTTTTAATTTTACGTTTGTGTTAGTATGTTTAAAAAAAAACAATCTTATGAAGCTGAGCTTCGGCATGTAGGCTTCCAAGGCAGCACCAATTGAGAGATTACTAAATCTACAAGTAAAATAAATAACGATTGCAGTTTTTGTATGTCAACGAAGTCGAGTACAAAAGCTAGTATCCAAAAATAATACCAATGAATACAATAAAACTGATTTCAGAGTGACATACAAATGGGTATTCAGTTAAAATTATATGTATTTAAAACCCAAAATAATAATGACATAAGATAAATTACACAACCGGGAACGCATAATATGTTTTATCACAACCAAGCGATCGTTTATGTAATAATAAAATATATAAAACATAATTGTATTGGTTACACAATCCCTAATAAGATAAAAGGCTGAATCATGTACATATTTTTAACCTCTTCAACTATTTTCTAGGTTCTAAATTTAAATCTGAATATCGAAATCCAAAAAGACGTTAAATAGGTAAATGAATTGGCGAAACTTTCCCGATATATATGGCAGTTCTCTTGGATCTACATGATAAGGTATGAAATTTTGTGGTGAGTAGAGATTTATCATCTTCAATAAAATAAAAAGATATTATAGACTAGTCGTATAGTAACTATAATATGCTCAAACTCTGCAAAACATAAAGTTAATGAAAAAAGACAAAGAAAACACGAAAATACATATAACAAATTACACTCTCGTACTAAAAATGCAACAAACATAAACCCGCATACAAATAGTGCATACTCGATTCATAAATATTAAATAACGTAATAAAATTTAACAACGACAGCTGTAGACCGCAGCAAATCAACCTAATCCAATCTGCAACATTTATTTACAACTTTATCCTTGTGTACTAAAGTTGAAAATCATATGAAAATGTTTGACGAATTGGGGTAGGTTGATGTGCGGTCTGTAGAATAAATGGAGCTCACCTGAGATCCCGTCGTAGGTCCACCATTCCTCCCAGCTGACGGCACTGACGGCTGCAATCAGACCATTCTAATTAAGTCTGCACTGTTCACGAAATTAACAACCCTACTTGTTATAATTGAGTCATTTTACTTCATGTTTCTACCTAAGTTTGTTTACATATTTGACGATTTTACTCATGGCCAGTCTCAAAAATCTATCGGTCTATGCATTTGGCTACAGGAGACCGAATTTCGACACATTTTGTTAAGGAGTATTGTTTGAAATTCATTCTTTGATAAAACATCTACTGCTGTTTACTGTGTAAGTTATTAAGAATGGCTGTTTTCTGTTGACATCGGGAAGTTTGTATAAGAGTTTCATAACAATGTTCTCAATAATTTATTGTTTCCCAACTCTTAATTGTAAAATGTAAACCGATTCGAGTTTTTTTTTTTATATTTGCAAGTTGTTGTAGTTGTAACATTTTACAGTGTAGAACAGATTTCAATAATGGCGCTTGTTTAATAAATTCTTATTGCACATTTACCTGTGTTATAAATTAAGTCAATATCGAATCAACGTTTATTAATCTGTTACTCTGTATCAACGGTAAAAATCGCGAATAACTCAAGTACCTAAGTATATTGAGAAAAGCTGTGGAGCTTTTGCGTTCGAAACTAGTTGTAGTTTCGAACCACAGAGAGGTTCTTCCACATGATCAGTGTGCGCGGTCGCGGCGATGTCGCACAGCCCACGATTTTTACATTGTACAGTGGCATAATGTACACCTCTGCCTACCCCTTCGAGGATAAAAGGCGTGATGTTATATTATGTTATGTTTTTCTAGCATCTAGCAACGTTAAAGGTTCTAAAACGATTAAATGTAATATTGATTCGTACTTTGCAATACTTTAATCGCATTAAATTTTACAAATAAATAGTAACATCGAACTATCGCATGCAGAAATTCTTGTACATTTTTGCAACATACGACAAGTTTATCGTCAATATAACAAATATCACTTTATCGCAGCTTAAAAACTTCCTAAGAATATCGTTTATATTCGTAGGAAGTCTCATAGTTAGGAAAGTTGAATAAATTGGCTAGAACATTCAAGTTTTCATGTTAAGTTTTTCTCGGGAATATTTATTGTCATTGGATAAGTCGATTAGTGGTTTCGTGACCATACGATACAATAATCTATGAACCACGAAGAAATGTCTACAGACCGATGAAAAATATTGTCTTTAAGGTTTAGATTTCATAAAAATTAAAACAATTTTGATCTATTGTTTTGTATAACATTCAATTTTTATCTTCCTTTTCTCGTGTTTTCCTCAAGCGAATCAATGGAAATGAAATGAGTGAGCCAATGGAGCGGAAAAGCGTTATTCTTTTGAAACAAAATGGTTTTTCCTTGACGTGGTGCGATGTTTGACACCCGCTATTGTTTGTGTTTAAGTACCTTAGCTACAGTGACCGACAATAGTGCTAAAATAAAAATATTATAAAAATAAACACTTATTTCAAACTACTTCATTCAAAAAAAGTACACAGAGGTAGATGAACGTGGGAATTGTTAGTTTCCATTATAATAAAATAAAATATTGATATTTTAAAAGATGCGCTGTTGTCCCTGACTGTACGGAGCGAGGTGCTTGCACCGTAAACTTTGTCTGACAGGTCTGTTGTTTCAATACGATTATATTGTTTGCTGCTTTTTAGAAAATTTTACTGCTCCAAGTTGAATTTACAAATTAATGTGTATTCGAATTAGTTAGCGTTTAGTTGATTTTGCAATATAGCTAATGTTGTTTGTTTATCATATTCTGTGTTTTTTTTTAATGGGACAAGCCCGCCACAACCTCCCAAAACCGCTGCAACTCCTGTAAATCAGGATCTACAGTAGATAGAACCCTGAAAACACCGGAACATTGAAGTCCAGCGCGTCCCAGGGACATGAGTATTCTGTGTTATTTAATATTTTAATACAAACTTTTATTCGATTACATTTACAACGTTTATTGAATTAATATTAATGTAGTACTACTTAAAATACCCCCAGTTTTAATTATATAATTATAACAGCGTAAAACCACATCTAATTAAATAAAAATACATTTAACGCCAAACGCTAAAAAAATCCGACTTCATAAACACCACCCGCTTACGGGAGAAGGATTTACAAAAGATTAAAATTTCTAATTTGAGCTGGCTAAAGTTCTCTTAATTAAGATTATGAGATTATGATACTCATAATAATTTCAAAGCAATTAATTCGAAAATACTCAGTAGAGATTCTTACGTTACAAATTATTATATTTGCGTTAATTTTTTCCTTATTCGGTGAATACATTTCTCACGGGCTATTACAAATGTCATTATGCTATTTATTGGACGTAGTTTAATTAAAATCAACAAAGTTAAAATCATAATACGTGTAGTGAAACGTGCATTCGAAATATACACCAATCTCGAAAGTTACTCGATACACGGCTGATTTATGTTTTTAATTTAAATTTTTGCATTCGCCAGGCGAAGTTCGCCACGGACGCGCCGCCTGCATCGCAAATATATGTTACAGTCGAGTCGAGAGATCGTTTCCAGTTTCGATTCGATACAGCTTGAGCGAACTGTCGACTTTTAATCTTTTAATGCTACTCAACAAACTTCAGCCTCACGGAGTACGGCCCCGTTTATTTGAAATAATATATTGCATACGATATTTTGCTTTTGCGAATTTCTATATTGGGCATATTAGCTTTCTACGTGCTTCTTTAGGAATAGAGTAGATAACGGATATATAGTTTTAAGCTTTTGTAATCATACTAGTGTGTTTGTGTCACTGAAACGACAAGCTTTGTTATATACAACAAACTATAATGATTGCTTTGTAACTTCGGTAACAGAGATAATATTAAGTGAGCTCGCAAGCCTGCATGGACATTAAGTACAGCTCAGTGCGGCTTAGAGCAACTTTAGTGTCGAAAACAACACCTGAGGCTACGCGCGGTTCCTGCTCAATCTATGAATAACTGAACTTTGAATAAGTTTATCAGATCAACATATAATATCTTGCAACTCTTGCAAGTTGTATCACTTCAATTTATGTATGTCGCTACTAGTGATGAAGTGAAACTGCTAGTGGTGACACAAAATAATGTTCTTTATCACAAAGTTAACATTGATAAAATATTTTAAAATGTATGCACCATTCAGTTGTACCGGGCGAATACAGAAAATAACACATATTGTCGACGGTACCCGAGTAAGTATATCGAAACAAATGTAAGATTGAATTCTTATGCATTGTTGCATTTTGCAGACGCGATTGCTACGTGAAGTAGGAAAGTGCTCGCGCGGGAGATGCCAGTCAGCGTCTGCTTAGTTTTAAGGCTCGACAGAGTCTGGAAGTCGGCACACCTTCCAGCGCTTACCCGCGGGAAATACTTATCTACTTACTATTGTATGTTTAACCTTGTTTACGCTTCAGTAAGGAAGATTTATGGTTATTTTTAGATAGGACCTGTGAAGTTCCTGCCTCGGCGTAAGCACAGTAATTTACAATTAACAACATTTCAAAGGTATTGATGTCGCAATCAAATGTTGAAAACGTGAGCAATTCGCAGCCGACGAACTCCACAAAGAGCTTCAACCATGCATCGGAAATGAATCAGTTTCCGTTTCGAGTGAGGCAAATGATATATGTGTCTACGTTTGCATTCCAAACGGGACTCTACTGTCTACGTGGTACCGTTCAATGCACTGCGGGCTTAACAAATTTAAACAGGATGCGCTGCTTGTAGACACATTGTACTTTCGTACATTTTAAATGCATAGCAAGTAAGTTCGAGAATGTTCAAGAATTAAAAGTAAGGAGTGCGCTCGTCGCCTGCTGTTGTACGAGGACGACACAGGGATGATTCGGATGCATCCAGACTCCCGTAACGATTTTCCGATGCATTGAGCCGAAACGAAACGAATGGAAATGTCATCGATGTATGAAATAAATAAATAAAATCACGTGGAAAATAGGCAATTTCACGGTGCATTGGATGTTCTTTGAGCGAATGTGCAAGACTGCGATCGCGTCGTATCGCAAACTAGTGCCGACGTCCGCATAACAAAAGCTTCGTTCGCGCGAATAATTTTAATCGTGTCCTGAGTGCTTCTTACATAACACATAACACGCGCACTGACTTCGTATTGTGCCACTACTCATGTTATTCACGATTTCATTGCATTTGCTGTGCACATTTTAGTATCATAATATTAATTAATATTTACGGTGAAATTCTAAATTAAATCTTATTTACTCTATGCAGCACACTTTTCGTGGAATTCATTATTAATTTCATTAACGTTGACAAATACCTAAATGCAAATGGACAATTGACAATGTAACATAGAATTATGTTATACTAATAGGTTATGAATAGGTGAATGTAAAATAACAAGCTCTATAATATTACAATTTCATTTCACATTTATTTGGGCGTAAGTTTTTATTTTTGTCTCGAAATTAATGAAAGAATTACCTACGGAGAAAATCTTAATACCGGCGTGGGTTAGTATTTTCCTTTTCCTAAATCATTTCATTGATATTCATTTTCTTGTTTATCTTGTGATATATTTTTATATTAACTTATTTTGTATCACATAATATAAAATTATGGATGTTTTTTTTATAACTGTCCCACACTAGGATTTTCTCAGGTGTCGCGTTTGTGTTTTCAAACATACAATTTCACATGACCATGACACCCAGACTCGAAAGATTGGGGATCACACAAATAGTTGCTTCGTGCGGGAATCGAACCCGCTACACGTTGTACGACAGCCACCGCGCCAACCGTGCAGTCAACTTGAGCAACCTTTTTGTATCCGAGGCAAGCCCATCCATGTAAAAGACCTAATATTCGGTAGTTACCCTAATCGTTTTGAAGGTCTAATTCAAGGATATTATTGAAAAGAAACCCTATACTGACCCATATAGAATCTGATCTGTATTGACACAAGTCCACTGATATCAGACGTTCGCTCGGATTCGAGTCGTTACTCAATGTTACT